GGGGGGGGGAGCCTTACTTATTCTAACTAAGTGGGGACAATAAGAGCAAGGTTATTTTTCCACCTTGTGATGTTTTTGGTGGGTGTTTCATTCACTTGTTTCACCCCTCTGATGATGACATTCCCATCCCTCAGACCCAAGGGGGACCCCCTCTGTACTATTACTATAACGCTGATATTGTCAACAGTTACCTATCAGCGCAGATAGGAAGCAACTTAGGGTCTCTCCTTTTCTGTTGGAAAAGTATCAATAGAAGAATCAAGCCTAAAAAAAACTCTTCATGATGTGTTGAGTCCCTGTGCTTAAGCCTTTCAGGACCCCAGGAAATACTGGACAACATATTCACTGATACCATTGCATTCATTTTGGTTTTGATGCATTCTGTCTTTGCAAGATATAGAATATATTTTTTCACTCATGTTGAGGAAGACTCCAAATGAGGCAAAGAGAGGCAGATTGCCTTTTTTCCTCATGCTGCCCTGTGCTGCCCTCGATTGCATTGTGGAGATACAGCCGGAGCCACAGGGTGCAGGAAGAGAAGGTGGTGAGTCTCAGCAGGTGAAAAGCAATTCCCACTGAGAATACTGTCAGCCACAGGCAGTCAGTCAGTCTGGGGTAGGAAATCCCCACCACTGCATCCATCAACCTTACTTGTTCTTTGCGAATCTTCTTTCTCCCACCACACTCTTTCTGACTAAACCATGCTCCTGCTTTCTATTGTCGAAGCTTTAATGGTCTCAACATGTAAAAAAATGTATTGTAAAGCACCACAGCAAATGATGCAATTTCAGGCATATGCCAGGCTACTTAGGGCATTATATTCCTTTTCCTTTATGAGCTGTTGAGCTTAATTCACACCACCACCCCCTGTTTTGCCTGAATTAGAAGCCATGCTCATGTGCTGTGCATGTAATCAATTAATGAGTTACTGAGAATAACACTGATAACATGGATCTTGGGTGTCCTGAATAGTCGCCAAGCTGTGAATTATGCTTATAGTATTTAGGAAGAGTGTTAAGGTTGCTAGTGAAGTATAATGTATTAACATGGTCAGCACTGCGACACAGTAAAAACTGTGAATTAACTTATACTGTCCTGTTTTATAAAACTACAGTACACTGTGATATCTGGGGTGATTTAGTGCGTTGCAGTTGATACTTTTACAGCATTTAATAGTTTAATGGGATAAAAATTACACTTTAATTGAGTTATGTGGTGGTGAGTTGATTCTTTTGTTAACGAGTTGCTGAGTTGACATTTTCTGTTGTAGATGGGGTAGCATTGAGCAGCTGAGCCATGCTTCTTAAAGCAGACCACATGCTTTGTCAGAGGATTTGTAATTGGTTAGTTGTACCGTGGGCAATCCTGGTGAAGTCCTGCCCTGGCTTCGGGCCAGGGAATGTGAAGGGATGTGAGGCGATGCTATATTTCATTGTTCTTTATCTGTGTGTGTGTGTGTGTGTGTGTGTGGGGTAGGAATCTACTACTGCTGTTGTCAGTAAAGGAATGTCTGTAAGCTGAATCATCTGCCTGGAGTGCCTCTAATTTCTGTCTTCTGACCTTAATCAAGCTATTCTTTTTTATTTTACTGAGATATTTTAGAAAATCTCATCTAGTGCTGCAGAGTTTAGGGTTGAGTAGGCTTGAAAACTATGCAGAGGATCCGTTGAGTGACTGCTTTAAAGGCAAAAGTGTTTAAACCTTGCTCCCAGGGCCTACTTTCAGACCTGCACTCAATTGGTCAATTACTGCATGGAGTGGGCGTGATTGTTGAACTGTTTTTTTTCTTCTCGTCAGTCCAGCTAGCATTCATTTTAAGCATGCTGACCTCGTGAGCAACTGACATCCATCACTTATGTTTGTTTTGGGCACGCACAGGCTTGAGAGACAAACTGCTGATCTGCTCAGCAATTTGCTCAGTCTTTCTCAGCCAGTGTCTGATGTAGAAAATGGATTTCTCTGCTCTTCCTGTCCCAAGGCCTGTGGGATATAAAGAGGGCAAAAAACTGGAAAGGCTTACCCAAAAGTAGGACAGAGTTGGAGGCCTAATTTTTTTTGTTCCTGTATTTTTGAATGTATGTGTGTGTGTTGAGCCAGACGTTATGTGTAGGTCAGAAGGTCCTAGTCTATCTGACTTCTCCTTTCTTTTCTTCATTTCCTGCTTTGTGAATCAAACATAAACATATTTATGCCAAATAAATTACTGGTACAGATCACATGGATCACTGGATCACATGCTCCAGTCATCCCACCAATGTACTCTCCTCCCTTTTAAGCAGCCAGAGTTACTAAAACCCATATAGTGTGATGATAGAATGTAATACTAAATACTAAAATCAGAGTTTTCAGAACAATAGTCATTTGTGCTTCTGTTTACTTGAAGTTTTTAATATATATGTTTAGGTAGTCCTACATTTGCACTGTCACTTACTGTACTGTGCAAAAATCTTGAGCCAAGGTGGAAGCCATTCTGTTGTGGGTGTATTTTTAATGTTCTGCTGACAATGTGGGAGTGTAATTGTGCATTACTGGCTAGTGCAGCCGACTGGGAGACAGAACTCTCTTATTATGCAAATTAAAATAAAACAACAAACAAATAAAATGTAGGCAGATTGGTTACTGTACAGTTTACAGCTCTGCGCAAAAGTCTTGAGCCATCCGTAATTTCTTTATATTTTGCGAGTAGAATGGGGAATAGGTGCAGTGATTTGTTGAAACATATGCCAATGTGTGGAAATACAGAATATAAGACAAAAATCGAGTTTGTACAATTCTATGACAGTGGATATTTCGTAGGATCACATTTATTCTTCAGTACAATCTGACAATCTTACAAGCTTTAACTAGTCTTCATAGTTCTCAAGGATTTGTTAAAGATGTTTAAAGCTCTTCTTGGGTTTTTGGCCGCCTCTTGTTTTGTTCTCTGTCAAGATGATCCCACACTGCTTCGATAATGTTGAAGTCTGGGCTCTGAGGAGGCCAATCCATGACTGATAGAGTTGTAATGTGTGATTTTCTGCCCAGATATGCTTTTACTGCTCTGGCAGTGTGTTTGTCATGGTGAAGAATGAAGCTGTTAGCATTCAGATGCTTTCCAGATGCTGTTGCATGGTGGATCAAAATGTGATCAGGATTGTAGTACTCACATTCCATGACTTTCAGGTGCTGTTCATCTTCAGCTAATTCAGCTCATTGTTGGTGTTGTTGGTGCAAATATACTTTTCATGCCAGTCCAACTATTATCTTTGACATTTGTTGGTTGGTTGCTAAGTTGCCTGTTATATTTAGACACAGCATTGGTTCTTCCCCGGAGTTAGGTGTGTTTTTATGCTTAAGTGATTCATAGATCTGAGTTAAGATCAGTGTTAGCACACAAATAAACAACAATAATAATAATAATTCTTCTGAAGATGGTCAGGTACAAGGAGTGGTCTGAAAATCTGTGAAAAACCAGCCAACATCCAAAGAAAAACTTTGAAAGACCTTCACAAAACCTGGAGAGCTATTGCTCAAGATGACTTTAAAACATTACAAGACATTTAGACTCCTTGGAAGAAAAATATAAAGAAATGAGGGGTGGTTCAAGGCGTTGGCGAAGTACTGTACATCAAAAGAAAAGCAGGCTGATTACCAAAGTAATTAACTCAGGCATTACTTGAACCAATTTTGAGTTGGTCATGAGACTCTGGGAAGACACAGGCAGCATGTTCGTGTTTTTTTGTGAAAATTAAATATTTTCCTCTTATCAGCTGTTCAGTAACAGTAATTACTGGGAAGAATGTGGATTTATGCTCGT